AGAGAGAGAGAGAGAGAGAGATGGAGATCAAACACCCAGATCCAGAGGTAGAAACTTAGAAGACAAGATGACATAAAGTTAGTCACAAGGTTGGTACTGGTCCTTTAAGAACTTATTCCTCTCTAAATACAATGGAATTAATTTTTTAAAAAAAACAAAAAAACCCAAAACAACCTCAGTGCCCCAAGAAGGAAAAGGAGAGGGAATGGAAGTACAAAGTTATAGCTCAAAATTTTAAATTAAGGAAGGGCTCTTGTCAGTGGTTTCCATGGCATATACACTGTAGCCAGGAATTAAGTCCCAAGTGGAAGATCAGCTGCAACAAGTGGCAGCGTGAATATCACACAGATGCTTTCTAAAGTGATTGCCTCTTTTTATAGCAAAGATAAAGCATAGATAAAATCTCTACCCAGGGACTTCCTTGGTGGTCCAGTGGGTAAGACTCCATGCTCCCAGTGCAGGGGGCCCGGGTTCAATCCCTGGTCAGGGAACTAGATCCCGCATGCCACAACTAAGGATCCCGTGTGCCGCAACTAAGACCCAGTGCAGCCTAAACAAATAAATAAATAATTTTATAAAATAAATGAAATAAAATCTCTACCCAAAATGGAGTTCCAGCTTTACCTTCCAAACCCAACTTGTGTCTTCAAGATTCAAATTCAGGTGAACATTTTTCAAAACTTACTTATTTTATCCTGAATACAATAAAGAATACTGCTTCAAGCTTAGTGTGCTAGGGTTATTTGCTCTGCCAAAAGGAGTCTACTTTGATTTAATTAGCACCCCATGGGCTGTGCTAAAGCATTCACTTTTTTTTTTTAAAATAAATAAATTTATTTATTTATTTTCAGCTGCGTTGGGTCTTTGTTGCTGTGTGCGGGCTTTCTCTAGTTGTGGCAAGCGGGGGCTACTCTTCATTGTGGTGTGCGGGCTTCTCATGTGATGGCTTCTCTTGTTGCGGAGCACGGGCTCTAGGCGTGCGGGCTTCAGTAGTTGTGGCTCATGGGCACTCTTAGAGCACAGGCTCAGTAGTTGTGGCACACGAGCTTAGTTGCTCCGCAGTATGTGGGATCTTCCCAGACCAAGGCTCGAACCCGTGTCCCCTGCATTGGCAGGCAGATTCTTAACCACTGCGCCACCAGGGAAGTCCTATTTATTTGTTTTTATTTTTGGCTGTGTTGGGTCATTGTTGCTGTGCGCGGGCTTTCTCCAGTTGTGGTGCGCGGGCTTCTCTTGTTGCAGAGCATAGGCTGTAGGCTTGCAGGCTTCAGTAGTTGTGGTGCGTGGGCTCAGTAGTTGTGGCTTGCAGGCTCTTGAGCGCAGGCTCAGTAGTTCTGGTGCACGGGCGTACTTGCTCCGGGGCATGTGGGATCTTACCGGGCCAGGGCTCCAACCCGTGTCCCTTGCATTGGCAGGCAGATTCTTAACTACTGTGCCACCAGGGAAGCCCAAGCATTCACCTTTTTCAAGCTTATTTACCAGTGCCACTCTGGATCACAGAGATAAACTAGGAGAAACAAAACAGTGACCCAAATGTAACCAGGCTTATGTAGGGAATTTGAACTCAGTAAATCCCAAAACACAAAGCAAGAGTATTTACTGAATTCAAATAAAAGATATCCTCACTGTTCTTATAGGAGACCAAAAGAATTAACCAAGCCAGGTATTTTTTCTGGTCAGTACAACGAGCTCACCCACATCATTCCTTCTTACACTATGTATGAGAAGCAGAAATTCCAATCTAAACAATTCAGTCAGAGATATCCTTACAAGTAGAAAGGGACATTTCAGGGAAGCTTAGGTACTGCTGAGTTGGAGTTGGCCCTTCTCCTATAGCTGTTTTAATGACTGAGCTATTGCCCACATCCAACACTGTTCAATGTGTAAGAGTCTCATATATATTCCCAACAGGACCTAAACCACGCCACTTTATTTATCCTACGTGAACAGTTATTTTCTCAGAAGTCTTCTCCCTGGAGTGATGGAAGAGAGGCTGATAGTGAGCAAAAAAAAAACCCCAAATAATTGCCTCCTTTTGTAATTGAATTACCATAATAAGATGTTAATAGTTCTCAGGCCAATTTGATTTTCCAAGGGAATGTAAGGTAAGAGTGAGGCAAAAAGGAAGACAGGGAGCCTTCTGGTGACTTTCCTGACTTTCACTGCCACGTGACTGATGGCAGGATGAAAAGCAGTGCCTGGGGGCTTTCAGGCAATGGTAGATTAATAATGACATGGCCTTGACTTCCCAGAGGTAAAGGTTATGAAACACTCCAGGGTGAGTGGGCTTCTAATTTCATACTCTCAGGGTGAATGACAGCAACTGATGGTTTTTCTCTCAGAAACACTTTAATGCTTAAACACACAGCTGTCACCTCCCTGCCCCAGTTTCTGAAATTCATTTGAACATGTTTATTCCTCAGCATTTATGCCAGCCAGACCACAGAACACGAGGTGGTCCTAAAGACCAATGCACAGAGCCTAAGCAGGACTAAAGGTGAAGGACTGGACTAGCAGAGGGTCTAGTCCATCATCTTAGCACACACAGAGTAAAGAGATACTCTAATACCGCCACACATATACACATAACACACCTCCCAGTACAACAATCTTACCTACTCTCAACAATCTTTTTAACTGTTGAGATCAGATTCAACCTTCTAGAGCCAGGAGGATGCCAGGAACTGTAAAGCAACACCAGAATTAGAGACTACCAGGAACTGTATCTCCTCCTATCTTTACAGTATTTGAAGCCCCAGTACACAGTCAGCTCAAAACCAAACACTCTTCTGACTAGCTCCCATCACTTCTTCTCTCTTGTCCAAATCAAGCTTCTTCCCCAACCCCCACTCTTGTCCAACCCCGGAGGAGGTCGTCTCGGTCTTGCTCTAGCTGACTGTAGGACAAAGCAAGGAAGGTGGAGGAAATGAAGGCTTCACACTTGAGACCCCTGGAAACCAAGTTTCTATTAAAAGTCCCCACCTCCCTCCCTTAAACGTCAGGAAGCTGCTGCTTTTAAGGATAAGCGATGCAGAGCTTGGCAGAAATGTCAAGTCAATAGAGGGAAGCTAAAACCTTCCAAGGGGAGGTGAATTCTGTCTTAGCCAAAATATACAGAGAATGAAGGACAACAGTTACCTGAGCATTCAGAAATTTACAATGAGCGCTAGGAGAGCAGATTCTTTTCACCTGACATTTTAAAATGCAGATTTCTGGCTTCGCCCCAACCTAA